CTGAGGCAGGAGGATCTTTGTGAGTTCGAGACCAGCCTGGGCTACAAAGTGAGCTCAAGGCCAGCCTGAACTGCATAGCGAGACCCTATCTCAAAAAGACAAAAAAAATAAAAAAGTAGCAGGGCCTGGCACCACACACTTATAATCCTGGCACTCTGGGAGGCTGAGGCAGGAGGATTCCAAGTTTTTTTTTTTTTTTTTTGGTACCAGGGATCGAACTCAGGACCTTGTGCTTGCTAGGCCTTGTGCTTGCTTGTGCCACTGAGCTACATCCCCTTTTTTTTTTTTTTTTTGAGGATTCCAAGTTTAAGGACAGCCTGGGTAACTTACTGAGACTCTCCCTGTCTCACATACATAGGTACATTCTAGCTTAGAAAAAGTTGGCAAATGTGTATCAGCTACTTCTACCCTTAAAAAATGTTAGTAGTATCATAACTACAAGACTGAGAACCAATGTCCTAGAGAGAGGTTGCTAGAACTAGAAAGACCTTAAGAGATCCGTAATTCTCAGGAAACTGGGCATCAGTCAGTTGGAATAATCTGGGATATACTTCAAAATTCCTCATCCTCAGCCACCTAAGTGCACTGAATTAGAAGACTGGTGCGCTACAGAAAAAAAACGGGTAAAATGAAGAGGAAGACGTGGAATGCAGGAAAGAGAACACAGGAGGTAGCAAAGACAAGTCCTGAGGTTGCAACTATGTACCGGTTAGGCAACTAGTTAAGAGAAGTATGGGAAGATAAATGTAACCAGCAACTCCAGGAAAACAATACTTGTAAAAGGAAGTTCAGTTGTAGCACACTATTGTTACCCTTGCAGCGTGCAGTATTACATGCTCATTGTATCAGGGTCACTACAAGCAGGTGGCACCCAGAGCCAGTAAAGATGCTACCACCTCTAGACCCAAAATGTCAAGGAGAGGTTAGAACTGAGAGGAGTCCCATGCACTCATCCCTCTGTGTACTTCCTAACCTGCCAGTGACTTGGCTGAGGAGCAGCTGGCCTGAAGAGACCTGGCAGGGGGAGAGCCAAGGGGATAAGCACTACACTGCTGTCTCTCTTGCTGGGCATCCGTACTGTCCAAGCCCAGCAGAACCTTGACGAGTGGGAAGCCTGTTGACACAACTCATGCAGCTTTCTTGGGCAGACAAGCAGCACAAAGGTAGTAGAAATTTAGAGGGGCAAATAAAAGACATCTCAAAAGCCAAGTGTGGTGGCACACACCTGTAGTCCTAGCACTTAGAAGGCTGAGGCAGGGGGATTGTTGCAAGTTCAAGACCAGCCTGAGCCACAAAGTGGGCTCAAGGCCAGCCCGAACTACATAGTAAGACCCTGTCTCAAAAAAAGACAAAAAAAAGACACCTGGCATAGTCAAATATAAATGCTGATTAATGACTTACAGAAAATTAAAAGCATAGGAGGTGGGAGCGTAGCTCAGGGGTAAGAGCATATGCTTAGCAAGCACAAGGCTCTGGGTTCAATGCACAGCAGCCCCTTACTCCAACTCCCCTACCCCGCAAAAAGCATACAGGGAGGATGTGTGGGAGCAGACGGAGTGTAAGATAGTTGCATTGCAAGCCTGACAGGAAGTCAATCATAAAACGGCAGTATAAAAAGGGAGACACATCTTCTGCAAATGGGGGGATCAGAGAAGGGAGGGTAAGGGTAAAAAGATTTTAGATGTGTTATGTTGGTGTAGCAACTCCCCTCAATGAATGTAATGACTATGTACTGCCAATGTGTACTAACAGAAGTGAAAAAAAATTACAAACAGCGGAATAGAGCTGGCATGTTGGCATGTCTGTAACCTATACTCAGGAGGCTGAGGCAGGAGGATCATGAGTTTAAGACCAACCTGAGCTACTTTGAGACTGATTTAAAAAATACACACACACACACACATACATATATACATTAACATCTCAGTTCATGAACGTTTTTGAACAATTCTGTTTATGAACAGAAGTGTATGGCAAGTTTGCTTCTGCTCATGAACCCTGCATCTGGTGATGAACACGACCACGGCCATCTTCTCCACAAAACACCAACAGTCATCTTCTTCCCCAGAATTGTGAAACAAATTAAGTTCGTGAACCAAGGCACCACTGTGTAACTCAGAAATATGCAGATAACGCAACATCTCAAATGGTCCTTTTTCACTTCTGTTAGTACACATTTGAGACTAAGGACTTACAAGTCATGTGTGTACTCAAAAATTTTAAATAAATTGCTACAGGGCCACATAAAAAATTGTGGCTTGGGAAGAAGGGAATATTAACTTGTGACTAAATATGCCCTTCTTTGCTATAAAGGTTCACTATTTTTATAATACAGTTTTTATACTATAAAAACTACTACTCAAAGGCTGGGCATGATGGTGCACACCTGCAACCCCAACACTCAAGAGGTTGAGGCAGGAGGATTGATGCAAGTTCGAGGCCAGCCTGGGCTACAAAGTGAGTTCAAGGTCAGCATGAACTGCATAGCAAAACCCTCTCTCAAAGACAAAAAATAACTAATCCTAGGAAAAATACTCCCCAGTTATTTCTAGCCTTAAAGAAAAAAAGAAAAAAGAAACTTCTCAAGCTAGGGATGTAGTTCAGTGGTATTAACACTTGCCTAGTCTGCAGGAAGCCCTGGATTCAAATCCCAGTACACCCCCAGAAAAAAGACAAAAAAATAATCAGCTCGACTTAGTTGCTAATGTACTTTATCCTCAGCTGGGTTGGGCAGAAAAGTGAGACTTACAAACTTCTATCAAATGATGGTCTTCACTGGGGACCCAAGGACAGCCTGCTTCAGAGACAATGTATGGCATAAAGATATCTCACATTATCTCTGAATATCTACAGATCCCACACTGAAGTGAGGAAGCCCAAAATGAAAGACCAGGCCCCCATTGTATAAATGAACCCAGACCAGTCAAGTCACTGCTGAAACCATCCCATTCTGGAATGTCTGTTAGGCAACAAAACTGCTGTCCCACCACTGTCCAGATGCCATCACATTGTGTTGTGATGTGGTGTAAAGTTTCCCTTTCAAATAAAGACTTTAAAAGAATAAAGAGCCACTAGATAAACTGTTTAATACATTCATAGGAATAGAAGGAATGCAACAGAATTAGAATTTATACATTGGACATTTATGTAGATGTTTCATTTTTCAAGTAAGTTTTCCATTTCTATCTGTTCTATCTTTCTCAGAGCAATAATAATAATTATTATTCTCAGCAATAAACTGCTCCACTATGTTGGACAGTAATTATACCTTTTGTTTCACATCACTGTCACCTGTTTCATGGTATAATTTACTCCACTCAAATTAGATAAACCCACAGAAATTAGAGCACACAGCAGCCAAATTCTTATGAACAAAGGCTAGAGGCCCAAGGATTTTAAGTACTGATTTAGTAACAAAGTGTCTACTGCACAAACCTTCAACTTGTTCATACTGTTAAAAATGGTAATAATAGAAAGGAGCTACTTTAATGAACAAGGAACTAGGAATGAGGTTATTAAATACTACTAAATGTATTTTAAATATAAATACTATGTATTTCCTGATCAGTATCAGGTGAATATCTAAAGAGTCTACCCTGAATTCTGGTCTCAGAGAAAAAGGTCAGAGATAATTCCACAGAAGGTGCTTCATATTGTCAGGTCCATTTTTAAAACAATTGAGATCCTTTGGGAAAATGGCATCAGTCCTTCTTTTTATCAGAGATTTCTATTGGTCCTTTTGTTGGTAATCCACTTATGTCTGCACCCTGAAATGAAAAAACATTTTTAAGAATTATTACAAGAAAAGATACTCATTGTAAGAGACAGTCTCTTAAAAACAGACAATAATTTAGCTCAGCAGGGATTTAGCTTAGGGGCACAGTGCCTGCCTGGCAATCACGAGGTCATGAGTTCAATTCCTGGTACGGGAAGAAAAAGAAAAAAAAACAGACAATAAACAAGAATGAAACACGAGGGGTGTGGTGGTGCACGCCTATAATCCCAGCACTTGGGAGGCTGAGGCAGGAGGACTGCTGTGAGTTCAAGGCCTGCCTGGGCTACA